AGGGAGGCGTGAGCGAGTGGGAAGGACAGCAGAAGCTGAAGCGGAGAAGCGCAGGGGCGGGGAGCAGGGGAGGCGGAGGGGAGAGCGGAGGACGAGGGAGGGGCGCCGAGCAGCGGGGCCTGGGGCACCGCACGGAGCCTGCGCCGAGCGCGGGACCCTTCCTCACTCGGGACCAAGAGCTTTGTCTTCAGGGTGCAGAGAGCAGGCGTCATTGATCCAAGTTAGCAGATGGGGAAACCGAGGCCGCTGCAGAGGCCACACTAGGGATGGCTCAGGGCATCTTATAGACTGACCAGCTTTCCCGCTTGTGTTGGGATACACGGACTGGGCTGCAAGGACATTAGGAGGTGAGGTTTTGTGTGAGACAGATGTCCAGGCTGAGTGGCCTTGGGGAAGGTCTGAATGAAGAGAAAGATGAAAGAATGGGTCACTGTCCTTAGTAAAGGCAGAGATGAAAGTGCCCTACTTTCCCTTACTCACTTCTGAGTCTGAAAATGCTCCCATGCATTAGTAAGGCTGCAGAAGGACAAAGCTGCAGGCATCAGCACACCAGCTTGAGTCCCTCTGGGAAGGACAAAGAAGGAGCAGGGTCCTTGCAGCCAGCTGGATGTTTGTTTTTTTTTTTTTTCTACAAAGGGTTGAGAAGGGCGATAGAAGGTCCCCGTATGGGACATCGATGTCCTGTGGACCTGTGCTTAGGTAGCAGGAGTCCAGCAAGGCCTCAAGACTGGAGTCAGCATCTTACACTCAGAGGCTCTCTGTATAGCTCCTTGCCCTCAGAAGCTTTCCTTCTGGAACTCTCCAAAATTACCTGAGCCCAGTTATTGGAGAACAAGTCATTGCCACTGAAGGTGTTGGAAGTGGCGGACTTGGCTTCAAGTTCCTTCAGGGTGTTGGGTGAGTGAAGAGATGGATGAGTGGATATCTCCCTGGATCAAAAGGAAAGGCTGGAGCCTTTTGGGCAGAGGCATGGGTACAAGGTGACATGAGGCAAACTTGTCTAGCCCTTGTCAGATCATAGATGTCTCCTTCTCCTTGAACAGGGGGAAGGCCATGTCAGTGGAGAGGGCACAAGTTTGATAGCCTCAAGGTGGGTGAGCCATACAGTCATGCACAGGAAAGTTGAGCCAGGCCAGGAGCCAGGCTGTGACAGTGGTGGCCCTTGACATTGGATCCCTCAATCAGAGGAGTAAGGCAGCCCTTATGAGTGTGATTCCAGTGGTGGAAGGTGGGAGAGCAGAGAAGGCAGGACAAATAACACCAGCTGGGGCTGGAAGATATGTGACACTTAACCAGAGAAGTCAGGGTGGGGATGGAGATGGGTGTATAGCATGGCAATAGGGGTTGTTTCAGGGTCTTGGGAAGGGGGAGGCCAGGAAAGGACGAAGGGGAGGAGTAATGCCAGGAGAGGTGGGTATGGGACAGTCAGGAGTGGAGGGCCATAGATACCAGGTAGGAAGTTAGGAATCGATGGCAGGAGGGTCCAGAGAAAAGAGCCCAGGCTAGGTTGTAGTCCTCCTTGTGAATCACACTGGTTTGAATGGCAGGTGCTGGCAGTGCTCTGCTCCCACTCCAGCACCTTCTCATCCATAATGCCTCTCCCAGCCCGGATATTAGCTTCAGACAGTTTCTGACCCCAATTCCCATTTGCATCACTCCTGGAGCATTCTTGGTTGTGCACTTGAGTAAGGCAGAAGCGCTGGAGAGCTAACTTCAACTAATGAGAGGCAGGGGCTGGGAGTGAATACCAGCTTCCTGGTTCCTCAGTGGGAGCCTTCCCAGTTCCAAGATGTGTTCTAGCATAATTAAATGACTCCTTTAGTGACAACTCAGTAACATCGGCATGCTTCACTTTCCTTTTTCCCTTTCTAGGCCCACCCTATTTCCTGAGAGTCCTTCCTCCTAAATAACTATTCAAATCCAAATTTTCTCACTCTCCTCTCTGTCTCTCTCCTTTCTCTGTCTGTCTCTACCCCTCCCACCGTGTGTGTGTGTGTGTGTGTGTGTGTGTGTGTGTGTGTGTACGTGTGTGTACAGTGCAAATGTGGAGGTCAGAGTACAACTTGAAGGACTTGGTTCTTTCCTTCCACTTCGTGGATACTAGGGACCAAACTCAGGTTGTCATCAGGCTTGGTCGCAAGAGTACTTACTTACTGAGCCATTGCACTGGCTCCCAGAAAGTGCTCTTAAAGGTACTGACTTTAAAGGGACAGCTGGCAGGCCCCCTCCTCTTGTCCTCCTCCTTTTCTTTCCTTCTTGGAATGTGAACATGAAGGACAGCAGTCACTTTGACAGTGAAGTGTTCTAAACGCAGTGCTAGGTGAATACCCAGGAAGAAGCTGAGATGAACAAGCCGTGGACAAGCCTCAAGGAGACAACACTTTAGTGCAGTGGTTCTCAACCTTCCTAATGCTGTGCCACCCTTTAATACAGTTCCTCATGTTGTAGTGATCACCAACCAGAAAATTATTTTCATTGCTACTTCATAACTGTAATCTTGCTACTGCTGTGAATCGTAATGTGAATATCTGTGTTTTCCAATGGTCTTAGGTGACCCCTGTGAAAGGGTCATTCAACCCCTAAAGGGGTCATGATCTATTCTTTTAGTGGGACTGTAGGGTGTGGACAAGAAGAGCTTGTCCAGGACAGAGTCACAGAGTGCTGTGGCAGGGTATCCAGGAAGGTGTCATGAAGGAAGCTATTTCTACACAATGACGAGGGTTCTGACTTGGTGAGTGGAGGTGGAGAAGGGGGAGTGAGAGGGTTAGACCCGGTTAAAGGTAAGAATGAGAGATGAGCAAGGGTGTGGAGGAGGCACAGACAGCAGACTGGGGAGGGAGCCGCACATGCCAATTGAAAAGAGACCAAAGAAAAGAGAGAGGGGACAGAGGTGAGAAGAAAGTCCATCGAGGAGAAAATGGTGGCTGTGTCGAGATGAATTTGAACTATGCAAGACCAGAGGGAAGTGACAGGAGAGATTAGAAGAGAGACTCCATGGTTGCCTGAGAACATGAGCATACAAGCTCACAATCTAATTAGCTTCTTGGCTTGCCAAAGGATTACAGGAGAATTAGCAAAGCTCAGGAGTCTAGGGACCTTGCTGGGAGTTGAGGGGAAGTTAATGAGAACGATGACAACATGCCCCAGGGAAAAATGAAAGAGGAGGAATTGTCAGTCAAGCAGAGATGCTGGCAGGAGAGACAGATGTCAGGAGTCTCTTTCTCCCTAGCAGATCACAGATCTCCAAGGGAGCAAACAGTTAGGGTTCCTCAGTCAGGCTCCTGTCCTCTGGCTCACATCAGGTGACCATCCTCTGGATACCTGGTAAGTGACCTGAAGCAGAGAAACCTGGGAGCAGCTCTGAAGGTCGAGTGTCCAAGTCTGCCTTGGCTCTTTTCCCAGAAGGGGTCAAAGGCTCAAACAATTGCTGGATGGCAGAACTGAACCCCTGGGCCCCATCTTCAGGTGGGTGGGAGGTGACCTCTCTTAATTGAATGTGGCAAACTTCATTTTCCAAAGACTGTTAAGTGTTTCCCGTTCCCACCTTGCTCTTAACAATGATATTGTCATGCCCAATAAAAAAGGAGTTATATTAGGTCTGCCTGGATTGCTCTCTCTTGAAACCGCCCGTTTGGAGTCCAACCATCCCATCCTAGGAAAGCCTCATGAAAGGGCCCTGTGTAGATGCTGTGGCCTACAGCCCTAGTCAGGATCAGCTAGATAATTCACGGGATCCAATGCAAAATGAAAATGTGACATTGCTGTTTAGAAATTAAGTTTAGATGGAAGCAGGAAACCACTTACAGAGGAAACTGTCAGGTCCAAAGACACTCCTGTTCCTAGATTCTGGTGGTAAAACAAAAGCCAGCATTTGCTCAGGGGCTTGGGAAGCTAGTTCTCACTTTCCAAAAGGAGTCATTTTCCTTGTGTCTAGCAAAAGGGACTTATGGCTCTTCCATGAACATATGACTGTGGTCCATGCCAGCTCCCAGGCTCCCTCAGGACCTATTCACAAGGCTCCTTATTCACTTCAACCACCACCCCCACCACAGCTCCTCACTGACTCCCTTTCTCCCAGGTACCAATTCCCTTATAACCCTTTGTCCCCCGTCACTTCTCTCTGCTTTCCCAAAAGACAGCCTTGGTAGTTTGGAGTAAACTTTTCCCCCTGTCACCCAGAGAGGGGCTATTGCTGTTTCTTTACTGCACCCCAGAAATTCAGGGGTAAGGTACCGTTGTGTGGCAGAATGACTGTGAAGCTCTGGCTTAATATTGGGTAAAATGGCTCCGCAGGTAAAGGTGGCTTTGCTACCAACCTTGAAGACTTGAGCTTGATTCCTGGGACACATATGGTAGAAGAGGGGAACTAACACTGAAAGTTGTCCTCTGACCCTCCCCTGCCCCCCACACACAGACAGACACACACACCCAATAAATAAATAAATAAATAAATAGTATGTATTTTAAAAAAGCAATCAGGGAGCTAAGGGCCTAGTAAAGTACTTGCTAATATGTGCAAAGCCCTGAGTTTAACTTGCAAACTTAAGGCCTTTATGTATTGATTTATTTTACTCAAGATAAAACCCATGATCTTGGGGCTGGAGACATGGCTCAGTGGTTAAGAGAACTGGCTGGTCTTCAGAGGTCCTGAGTTCAATTCCCAGCAACCACATGGTGGTTCACAACCACCTGTATTGAGATCTAGTGACCTCTTCTGGCTTGTAGGGATACATGCAGACAGAACACTATACATAATAAAT